CTCTAGAAGTGGAGAAGCTGGTGCGAAAAGCATACCGGTCTGTACCTGCGCTCATTGAAGGGAACCTGGTGCAGACATTCATCGACGGCATCCGCGACCTGGAAGTCAGAGCTGCTGTGAGGCTCGGGCACCACGAGACGCTTAAGGACGCCTTGGCCCATGCACTGGAAGTGGAAGCCGTGCGGCAGGATCATCGTTCCCATCGCGTCAGGGAGGTTGCAGCAGCTACAGTTCGCGACCGCAACAAAGGATACAGCCCAAGGTGCTATGGCTGTGGGGAAAAGGGCCATCTTCGATCCAGCTGCCCTAAGCGAACCCTAGAAAGGGAAATTGAACGATCTCAGGAGGGTAGTGCGGCCAACAGCACCGCCCAGCAGCGGCAGGGAAACGAGTAAAAGCCAGAACTGCGGGGCGGGTGCTGGCTGATGTTAAAAGAGCCCCAAGGATCTCGATCTCACAAACCCATGATGGGAACAGCCTAATCATAAAGGGCGAGATCAACGGAATGCCGTGTAAGCTGACCATAGACACTGGAGCCTCTCGTACGGTTGTTAGTTCCCAACTTATAAGTCAGTTCCTTGGGGACTCCGCATACAACCGAGAACGCCTTAATTTGGTAACAGCCACCGGTCAGCGTATACCCGTCCGTGGAGAGAAGGAGATGGAGTTGAAGCTAGGCAACGTGATCTACCTGCATAATGTCATCGTGGCTGATATAATGGACGACTGCATCTTAGGCCTAGACTTTATGAGGAATAATTGTTGTGAGATCGACGTTAAGCAAGGTGCATTGAAATTGTACAATGTTGGTGCACCATGGGAGAGAATAGCCATTGACGTGGCGGGGCCGTTTCCGGAGAGTGAAAGCGGTAACAAGTATTTCATGGTTGTGATGGATTACTTCACTAAGTGGCCAGAAGTCTTCGCCATTCCAAATCAAGAAGCTTCAACAGTTGCAGATAAACTAGTTCATGAAGTCTTCTGTCGTTTTGGAGTACCTTTAGAGATTCACAGCGATCAAGGAAGGAATTTTGAGTCTCAAATATTCCAGGAAACTTGCCGAGTTATGGGTACTCATAAAACAAGAACTACTTCTTATCACCCGCAATCTGATGGAATGGTGGAACGATTTAATCAGACATTGGAGAGGTACCTAGCAAAAGTTGTAGACAATCGGCAACGAGATTGGGACAAGCACATACAACCGTTTTTGTTGTCATATCGAAGTTCTGTTCACGAAAGTACAGCAGTGACACCAGCTTTCGCAAACTTTGGAAGAGAATTACGGCTGCCTGCAGACCTGATCACCGGGATACCACCCGATGCTCCACGCAGTATAACCGATTATGCAAATGACTTGCGGAAAAAAATGAATGACGTTTATGAGCACGTCAGACAATCGGGCCAGCAAATGTCTGAAAAGATGAAAACCCGGTATGACCGCAAAATGAACAACAAAGGGTTCGACGAAGGTTCACTTGTGTGGTTGCACAATCCAGTCCGCAGCAAAGGGAAATCTCCTAAGCTTCAAGCTAAATGGGACGGCCCGTACCGGATTGTAACCAGGATCAACGATGTGACCTACCGGATACAGAAAGGCGCAAGAGGGACTCCTAAGATCGTCCATGTGGATCGCTTGGCGCGTTATTATGGGACCGATAATGCTCGGGACGAGCATGTCTTAGGAGGGGGCAGTGTTGCATGAATAAGTCAACTAGCGCCATCTAGTGTCAGGAACGAGAGCGAGGGGAGCATTGAGAAAATGACATCACAAATCGCTCAACTGACAGCGCCTAGTCGAAACTCGAACGCTCGATACCTTCCGCGTGTTTACTTGAACATTCTGGATATTTCTTTGCTAATTCAAATATATAGGCGCTGCAAGATGCGATCGAGGCAGAGTGAACTCGGCGACACAAGCGAAGCTTCGGAGTGGAATTAAGTGAATTAGTGTGTTTAAATTATTAGTGTTTTAACTTTAATTGTGTAAAGTAAATTAAAGTGTTAATTTAGGTAATTTTATCGGCAATTTTTATTGTCACGAACCTCAAGCTCGTAACAATATGTTCCATTAACCATAAATTATAATTCGTTGCTGTATCCTAAGAGATTTTAAAACTATGTAGATGTTTAATGCTTAATTGCAGAGTGAACAAATAAAAATAAAAACTATGGAAAAGCATCACAAGTATATTTAATTCTACAGCGCAACAAGAACCACTTTTTACACAATTTATCCTGTGCAAAAATGAGTAACATTTTAAAAATATTAATTTTAACTACACTTAAGTTTAAATCAATCATCCCTATTTAATCAGCGAAAGCTCTATCTTGTTGGCCATCTTTTAACGGTAAGTTATAGAACTTAGCGAAGCAAAGAAAAGAGTCGGACCAGCCAGCTGTACGCTTTATGGCATCTATGGAGACACCAGCGGCCTAAAAATTGGGAACTAGCATTTCAGAAAGGTTTTTTAGTAGTTGAAATTAACTTATCTTAACCAGATTCCTTTCGTAGGTTTCTCGTTGTACTGATCTAATAATTAATAAAAATATTAATTAATAATTAAGACAACCAGTAAAAGTTAAAATTAACTCAACCAGATTCCTTTCGTAGGTCTCTCGTTCCATTCATATGATCAGAAAGAGCTTTCACTGGGCAAATTTCTGGTTGTTCTTTGTAACATTGAATTATCAATTCCGGATTCATCCTATTGGGCGCTGACGTTTTAACAAGTTCACCTATTTCTTTTTAGTAGTTAAAATTAACTTATCTTAACCAGATTCCTCTCGTAGGTCTCTCGTTGTATTCATATAATCAGAAATAGCTTTCACCGGGCAAATTTCTGGTTGTTCTTTGTAACATGGAATTATCAATTCCGGATTCATCCTATTGGGCGCTGACGTTTTAACAAGTTCACCTATTTCTTTTTAGTAGTTCAAATTAACTTATCTTAACCAGATTCCTTTCGTAGGTCTCTCGTTGTATTCATATAATCAGAAATAGCTTTCACCGGGCAAATTTCTGGTTGTTCTTTGTAACATGGAATTATCAATTCCAGATTCATCCTATTGGGCGCTGACGTTTTAACAAGTTTACCTATTTCTAGAGATAGCGACTCGTTAGGGTTTTTCTTAAAAAGGTGAGATAAAACTAAATTTGGATCACATGAATGATGGGTTTTGATATTTAGGTAAATTAGATCTTTTAAAAATCTTCTGCCAATATAATTTTTGTGCCTAATATAAATGACAGAGCTGATAGAAAAGAATTTAACGTGTTACATTTAGCACCACACTTAAAATATTTTATAAGAAATTTTATAAATATATTTACTTAAACCATTGAACTAATATGTACTTACGTACTAGAACAGCTATCTCAAACAAAAAATGTGCGCTACTCTGTGTTCGCGCGGTTGTTTTTTTTATGATAAAATAAACATAGGTAGAATGATCCGTAAGTAATAGTAGATTATATTGTTAAATAGGTAAATTATATCGAGAAGAATATTTAAATTAAATTTAAATTTTATCATTTATTTTGTATATTATATTTGCTTAATTTCATATAATATTACATATACATTTTAATGATATTTTTATCTGAATATTTTAAAAGGTCAAATATAAAAAATATACTAAATATATGTTTAACAAAACTTATTAACATTAAAATTTAAATTACAAATATATTTATTTAAATTAGAATAAGAGTCTTTCATAAGTGCTGGGCACGCGAGAATTAATAATAGACGAATTTATTCCACTTTGACTTTGATGTGGAAACCTAAAAATAAAATAAAAGAATAATAAGCAGATATAAACATGAAAAATAAGCCTAATTATAATAACTTATATATGTTTCTACAAAAAAAATGTGTATAATAATATAATCGTCCTATACTTTAGTACCCACAAAAATGTCGCATCTGAACATATTAATTTCATAATCTATATTCCATGACACGAAATGGCGTCTTAGGAATAATTTGTTTTATTATTAATCTATAATACTTTATATTGATTAAGTATCTTATTAACCGATTGAAAGTAATTTCTTGGTTTTTACTGACATTTCTAGAATTATTTTTTGCAATATGTAAGTACACACGACGGCATATTTTTATCAAGAGATTTTTTTTTAAATCAACACAACACTTGACAACTCTACAAGCGTCTAGCGAGTGACTGATTAAAGTGCGGTGTATGCACCGCAGTTGAGTGGAACATAGTAGCTGAATGCAGTGTCGTCTTTAGTACGTAGTACATAATAGCTCAATGACTTAAACATTGAAAAAGTTATTGTCTTTACAAAACGAAAACCATAATTTGTATTATATTGCCGCATTGTTTTATTTATCTGAAGACTGTCTGGCAAACGCTTCCCAGATAACGTTGCGCACACCAGAGTAAGGCTGGGCCACAAAGGATGAACAATCCTGGATAGAGAAAGTCATCATCATCATCATTACAGCCCTTCACAAGTCCACTGCTGAATATAGGCCTTTCAAACGATTCCTAGATCCTTACGAAATCGTAAATACTTTCTAGAGGATTTATGGACGGGAACCAAAAAATAAGCTTCTTTAAGATCAATTTTTGTCATATAAAAAAGATCAATTGTTGCCATAAATGAATCTACAGATAATAATTTTGAACATGCGCGAATGTCTTCCATTTTAAAATGATTTTTCAGTATAAATTTATTAAGTGACTTCAAATTAAGAATAAATCTTTATTATTGTGATTTTACTTTTAGGAATATGAAATATCGGAGATATAAATTGACCATCAGATTCATTTGGCACAATTGATCCTCGTTTAAGTTGCTTGATCATTTTCAACATTGCGGTTTTAGAACCAATAATAAATCCTCTTACCAGGCTCTAAAGTTATTTGAATATTAACGAACAGCCCTTTACTATATTCAATATATAGGGATCCATTGTTACGTTTAACCGATTGTGTAAAAAGTATTGAATACGACCAGCATGCCACCTTTAGCGGCGGCTGTGATAGTTCTGTAGCCGGTTGGTCAGCGGTGGGCACTGTGCTGCTGGCGGTTTCCCGAGAGCGGCGGGCTGCTGTGGAAGGTAGAACCGAGCCTGCGCGCGGGCTGCACGCTCCGCTCCCGGTACACCTGAGATTATGAGTTTTCTAGGAGCAGACAATTGTGATTTTTCATCTTCAGGGTAGATTTTTCTATTGACTTGGTTAGTTTTGATACTATCGCTTAAATTGCCACCGAAGTGAATTTTTTAATGCCTTGTATTTTATTACATATTACATTAGTAAAGCTTTTGTCTAACATTAGGATAATTAATCGTCTACGATTCATTGTTTCCTCGTGGTGAAGGTCTAGTAGAATTTCATATTTGCTCATTGCTTTACTTGTTAATAATGTTAGATTTGCTAAACCGGCGATGCCACAAACTAGTTAGTTTTGCATCTTTTATAAACGCCTATCACGATTTTTGGTCGATTTATTAATTACTAACACAACCTCGATGTTCAATCTTGACGCTTCAGCAAGTTGAAAATTTTCGGGAATTAGTGTCTTAGTAAGCAAGTTTTCCTCTGTTCTTTTATCAACCCTTCTATTAGGATTTTACCCCAACGTTCAGAGACTTCCGTAGGTTCAACTTCTAACGATTAATAAATATACATATTATATACACACAGTCTGTATAATCATACTGGGGTTCATAAAAAAAGAAAAAGAGAGTGTATTATATATTATATATCCAGACGGACTATTAGGCAGCAAAATAGGTTGTGATAATATTAACATTTCAATATTGTCAATGAACGAACACGCTCGTTGTATTGAAGGAAACATTAGTTGTGACATAAGTTAATAATATTATGAGTTAATGTTATATTTAATCATTTAATGATAATTATGTAATATATATTATAATATTGTTTTTATAATTTACCTGCTTGAAAAAAATCTTCATATATCGTGTAAGTTTTCCCAAGTTATTCTGTCATAGTTATCCAAACTATTCTAATGTTGTAAGTTGATCGTTCTCCTTTTTCATTTATGACACTTCCGTAGGGATCTTCTGCCCAAAACTTTCTTCGGACGTTTTTGATTCCCCAAGAGCTGTCAAGATTTCTGGGGGCGGGGGAGTATACTTTCCTCGTCTTGTAATGGTGAATGAACATGGACTCCTTCTAAAGACTTTTCAGTAATAATAGTTTCATCTTCAAGCAACAGGGGTGCCAGCGTGGGTATTTCAATGACGGACTTTGACCTGCGGCTCTCAGCTGCGGCTTCTTCCACGCTAACATTACCACTGCCAACGCCGTAATCGTACGCGTCGGACTCCATTTCTTCATACTCGTCGCAAAAGTTATATTCAAGTTCTGATAGAACAAGGGTAAATCAGCTTAATATTTACTTTCTGGATAACATCACGTGGCACCACATTAAGAAAGTAAGTTTTATATTTCCGGGTTACATCGCGTGCCATCACTAATGAAATATTGGTATAAATACTTCAGACAATAACAATAGAACCATTCCGATTATTAGCTCCTCACTTTCTCGGTAACATCACGTGTCACCATATTAAGAAAGTAAGTAAATTATTCCCGGATGACATCACGTGCCACCACTGAGGAAATAAAATAACTTGAAATTTAATAATTAATATGTGGGTACCTAAATTTAAATCACCCATTTACATTATTTTTGGTAAACTGTACTTATTAAAATATTATCTTTATATCACTTGTTACAGAAACTTTCAATAAAGAAAATAAAGCAATTATCATTTAAACGTTTCAAAACTAACCTTTATTACGATAATCCTCGGGTGGTTTTCGTCGAGACTTTAACTCCTTTTCCAAACGTGATATTTTGTTTCTAACTTTATCATCAGTCTTCTCACTTGTTTCCCATTTTAACATAAATTTAAATTTAAGAAAAAATCATTTCTTGCGGGGCACATTCGGATAATGCAACACACGGAAAACGAATGATCGAAGCGCCCGGCCGGGCCAGTAGGCTGAGAGGCTTACAAAAGTCAGCGGACATTTTTTTTATTATTTATATTTTAATTTATTTGTAAAATAAAATTAAAAATTCGTGTGATGATGCAGTACCACAGAAAGCGGACTACATAGTTATTAAATCTCCTAGGATGCAGCAACGAAATATAATTATTTTTATTTATTAAAAATGGCATCTGGTACATTATTGTCAATAACAGAAATGTCTGGCAATAATAAATTCATGTTTTTAATATCATTTAAAAGTTATGAAAAAGAAAAAAATCCATAATTATTTAACAATCAATATTTTTACCTGTAAAAGTGTGATGCGCGTTAATAAACGCAACGTTTACCGGCAGTCAGGTAACCCGCACGCTGTTCGGAAGAGCATAGAGAAAGATATATTTAAGAACCAGCTTTTCTAAAATTCTTGTTTTTCCTACGTTGCTAGCTCTCGTACCAAAAGGCGTGCGAGACAATTCGTAATGACTCTCGAGAACAACACGCAGACGCGGCTCAAAAGGGAAATCGGTCTATAGTTCTTCAAGATACTTTGTCATCTTTCTCGAGAGTCATTACGAATTGTCTCGCACGCAAACTGCATAACTTCTACCATCAACGTACCCAACAATCCGGTTTCTGAAAAGGCTTTACTACCGTAGTCAGAAGAGTACAATCTGCTACTTTGCCTCGCATATATGGACTATGAGAACGCCTTTGATTCAGTCGAAATTTGGGCGGTGCTACAGTCACTTCAGCGGTATTAAGTTGTCGTTATATCGAAGTGCTGAAGTGTTTGTGCAGTATGGCTACGATGGCTACCCGAGTACAGAATCAAATTACTAAACCAATCCAACTGCAGATAGGTGTAAGACAGGTTGACGTTTTATCCCAAAAACTCTTCATCGGCTGCATTGGAAGACGTTTTCGTGCTACTGGACTGGAAAGGATGCGGTAATAACATCAATGGCGAATAAATCGCTCATCTTCGATCTGCCGACGATATAGCCCTTATGGCAGAATCGATGGATAATCTAAGCACTATTCTCAATGATCTTAATAGTGCCTTCTAACGGATAGGTCTTAAGACGAACATGGAAAAATAAAACATCCATGTCCAACTTATGCCGGTAGTTGTTGGCAACACTAATTTCGAAGTCTTAGACGAGTATATTTACCTAAAACAAATAGTCGGACTAGGTAAGTCCAAGTTCGACCGAGAGATCAATCAACGTATACAATTCGGCTGGGCGGTGTTCGAGAAATTACGACATATCTTCTGGTCAGGTATACCTTAAAACTTGAAAACGAGAGTGTACAACCAAACAATTGTGTTGCCAATGATGACTTATGTATCTGAGACGTGGTCCTTCACTGCTGTGCTCAGAGTTTTCCTGCATGATAAACTTAGAAATGACGATATATCTGCAGTAGAACCAAAGTGGATGACATAGCCCAACGAATTAGTGATGCAATGGGCCAGCCATATAGACGATGAAACCAAAAGGGAAACTTATACGAAAAGGTATACAAAAATAAATAGTCGAGCTCATCCCATTATCTAGTATTGTCCTGTCTTTTACACAACATAATGTTGTGTAATCCAATAAATGAAGTCGTAACATTGATAAGTTTGTTGTTATTTTAGATGAGATATTATATCCATATTTAATTTTGAATATGCTTATATTTTTATAAATCGCATGTGTCACTAAATTTTTATTCACCTTCATAAAATACATATTATATAAATACATACAATATAAGGTATAAAGGAACCTTTTGTTCGATATGTTACAATATTGGGTTGTGTGCTTTCTTATTCTTTTTTTCTCTTTATTACCTATAAAGTAATAGCGATTAATAAATTCACAAAATATGCTTGACTAGCAATATAAGTAAATGATTAAGATATCAGTTTAGTACAAGGGTACCTTTAATACAAATTTATATCTCGTTATACGAGTATATAAATATAAGTAATTAATTCTTGTCTCCCGGAAATTTAAAATTTACAATAACTTCTTTTTATGTATGTTTTGAAACAGTTTTGAAAAACTGTTTTGAAATCTAAAGAAGAACCTTTTGCATGAGTTAAAAATGAGATAGCTTTTTTTATAAAACTGTAGTGACAAACGGACTTTCAACTTTCGATGAGTCCGCCTAAAGGTAAGCATTTAGAGGTCGCGGCTAAGGGCGCGCCCAGTGATATGGTGCACCTTACCTCAGAAGAAAAAGGGAAAGGAAAGGGAGGTAAGAATGAGTTTTACTCTGTCTAATAGTGGCTGCCTTGAGGTGACATGTTTTGGTAAGACCGCGACTTTAGAACCGCTTCTGTGACCCTGCCAATATCTTCGACACGAAGGCGGAACTTCATAGGGTTTTAGTCACTGCGAGTCCAACATAAACCGTCCATACATCCGCAAGAACGTAGACATTTTCCCATTAAAAAAGGCAGAAAAGAAGTGCTACTAGCTGAGTCACTTAAAGCCCCGACGGAAAACCAGTGTTGTGTTACCCCATTTACAAACTTACACTTACAAACACTGAGACGGGATTCTTCTTGACAGCACGCAACTGCTTAGTTACCAGTTCGTAATTTGTACGATTTTCCATGTTCCTCAACCTTGTGTATTGGTCAAATAAATGTTTCTTTCTTAATGATTTCTTATATTTACGCGAACACTACACATTGATTAAAACTACTTTTACGGATTTTATCGCGTTTATTTTACTATTATTTTTAATTCCAGACGTTTCAATTAGAACCCGCGTAAAAGAACATATAGCTGATGTGAAGCATCAACGTTCCGGGAAGTCTGCAGTTTGCGATCATATCCTAGACGGCCCCAACCATTACATCAGATTTGATAGACCACAAATCCTCGCGAAAGAACACCGATTCCTTCCAAGGATGATACGTGAAATTAAAAAAACATCCTAATTTCAATAGAGAAGGAGGCTGGGTACTACCACCTGCTTGGGATCCTATAATCAATAAAATTAAAACTAAACCCAAGCATACCACTGCAAGACCTCAGGACATAGTCAGTTCATTTTGCATAGATCGGACCATAAACAATAATTAAAAAAAGCTGAAGGTACTCCGGGTTTAACAATGACATCGGGACGTCAGTCATCTCAGTCCCCCGTGACCATGGGTGCTGGAAAGCGCCCGAAACGTCGGGAATTAAAAAAGTAGTTTAATCAATGTTTCTTTCTTTCTTTCTTTTTTTCTAGTAGTTAGAAAAACATCCTCGTTAACATTTTTAAGCGTAGCACTCCAACCAACAACTAACATCAAAGGTGTCAAATGGACGTTACATGGGCATACTAGACAGGGATTGTCACTCATACTCTTCAAATTACCTCACTGTTTGTCATGCAATGCAGAAAAGTTGAAAAAGAACAATCACAATATAATGCTGAATAATAAGAATATACCTCCTAAAATTAGCGATGACATATTTATAAAAAGTTACTTATATGTGTGGAAATATCCACTATCCCATATCATGCTGTAGGTGTCGTAAGAGGCGAAAGATTAAAATTGAGATCGCTGATTGGCAACAGCTTCTTCCTTATAAGAAAATAACAAACTGCCAATACCAAACATCTTGCCATGCGTCGCAATTATTCCCCTCATGAAGTAATCTGTGGGGAAGCCTATGTTCAGCAGTGGACTGTGATCGACTGTCGCAGTGAAAATATTACATATTAACTAAGGACTTGATCTTATTTAAATGTAAAAAATCACAGGTGAATCAACTTTTGTTTACAGGAGGATACAATACAAGCCTGTAAAGCGCTGGATTTTAGATACTTTACGTATACGTTTTTGTGAGAATTGTTTGATCACCAATCACAATCTAATATTGAAATACATATATAATACTATATAGGTCAATATATTTTGACAGAATATTGTGTAAAACTATCCCACATAATTCTTGCATTAGTGCGAAGGAATAAACGCGCGTTCATGTGCGTGCGTGTGTGTGTGTGTGTGTGTGTGTGTGTGTGTGTGTGTGTGTGTGTGTGTGTGTGTGTGTGTGTGTATGTGAAAGAGGGAAAGAGGTTATTTACGTGCGTGTGTATACTGCGCGTGCGTGCCTGTACACTAATTAGCACTGGTTTTCAATCCAACATTCCCCTGAGGCAGGTAGAGCAGCTGTGTGCAGCGTCGCTACTAACATGTTCGAAATTTAGAAAATTCTTCTATTTTAAGTTTAACTTATTTGCAATCATAATAAATAGGTTTGCAATGTACAACAGAATTATTTATAGTGGAGTAAATGTTATTCCCTTAATAAAACAGAGTTAACCACCGCGCTTCAAATGTAAACTAAAACTAATGAACACTATTGTTTGTCGAATACATTAACTAGCAAAGTTTACGTGATTGCATTCAACGCCCTGTTTGTACTTCTCGAATAAATTATAGTGAATTTAGTTTGTGGATTTATTGCACAACCCTTGCAAGGCAACTGATAGTCACGTTTTATGTACTGTTATATAAACTTTTTATAGCATTTATTTAACTTCACTTGTATGTATGTCCTGGAATTTTGCAATCAATATTTCACCCACTTCCACTAAAATTATTGGGGAAAAATTTGACACACATGTTTAGTTTTTGAGACAGTGCACAGTTATTTAAATGCATTTTAAAAGTACACCTAGCTCAGTGACGTCAATGTAAATCCAATATGGCGAACCGACCAAGATTGCAGACTAGTTATTTTTTAAACACTTACATAATATGGGTATTATAAGAAAGAATTTGCTGGGAAGGATACATAAAATAAATTGACGTCACTCTAAATTCAATATGGTGTAATGTTTTTTAGTCACACCCGTGATATGGATATCAAATGAATATATGGATTCAAAATGACGATAACAATATGACTTTT